AACATGTCAGAGCATTGAATTAAAAGAGTTAAGGGTGGCGAATCTTTTGTTTTCCGGCTTTCAGTTTGATTTAATTTTCATTTCATTTTGAAAGAAGTTTAAGTAAGCGGAAAATTGTAACCGTAAAATAAAATAAAGAAAAAAAGAGGTAAAAAAGAAAGACGCAGTTCAAAGACAAGCCGCAAATTAAACAAATTTTACTTGCCAAACCCGTAACGTAGCAACGGGATACTTTCGAAGGCTCTTAATCTACGCCCACGTATGGTTAATTTCTCGCTCGATCTTCGTCACTGAAGTGGCTTCCTATCCACTGCTATTTCAAACTCTGTATCCACGTACAAGAAATGATATGGATCAACGTTTTCCAATAACAAGAAAAGCAATCCTCGCCTTTTACTCGCTGCTTTAGCTTTTCGAAATTACGTCCTAAAAGTCTTTTTTCCCCAGGAAGTAGATTCTAAACTGAGCGGGTAGAGTTTGAAAGAAACGATATTCAATATTTAACAATTATTCGCAAAAGGCGAGGTGAATATCGTCGAATAATCCCCGAGACGAAGTCGAGGGGATTATTCGACAATATTCACCGAACCTGAGGCTAATAATTGTTTTAGTACAATTTCAGAGCTGAACAACAGAGAAATTTCTAAAATCATAACATTTTAGTAACATTTATTAACATTTTATTTTAACATTTTATATAAATTGCGTGGAGCGGTTTATATAGCGTCATATAAGGTATATGACGCTATATAAACCGCCATATATGATGTTGAACGTTCCAAAATACCATACTGATAGCTGAAGGTCTTCTAACGGGTCACCGGTAGTTGCTTAAAACACTCCTTTCTCCAGAGTTTAGTTAAAAATGAGGTGGATTTTCGCTCTTCTGCTGCTGAGGTCTGTGCTTAGTGCATCACACAGTCCGTCCCGATGGTAAGAGTAGGTGCGTCATTAAAACATATCAAGCAGCTCATGGAAGTTAGTGTTAGAAAATGTGCCTGTTCTGTTTTAGGAACAGCCAATTACCTTAGGAACAGCCAATTACCTGAGTTACATTGCGACAAGGGGACGATCGCACTTCATTTCAGTATCCTAAATTATTTTTTTTACACTTAAAAGAAGACATGATTCAAAATATCAAGACTGACCAATCGAAATGGAGAGCTAGCTTGTTAGAATTATCAGTGTACAAAAAAAGCCGGCATTATCTACAACTGTTTTATAGTAAAGTAGAGGTAAATATCGACTGCTTTTCATCGGAAAAAATTCTCATCCGCTAAGCATTATGAAAATCTATAAGCGTTGGAAACTGAGCTCAGCACGTTAGTTCGGCAATAGAAATTAAAGCGATCTTTTCATCATGTCGTATTCAACAAAATATGAGCTGCTTTAGGCTTCGTATTACATTAAATCCTTTATGATTTCTCCTTTTAGAGAATTTTAGCATACGAAACTCCAGTCTGTTTGAAGGAGATAATTTGAATATATCAACAAAGGTGAACTGGTAAATTGGCCACCGTTACGATTATAAAACCTGACGTTTCGAGCGTTAGCCCTTCGTCGGAGCTATCAGGAATGTAAAGTATACATTCCTGATAATCAAGAGTTTGAATTATGATAACGCACTTGAATGACGAAATCCAGGCTCAGTTAATTTTTTAAATGTCCTGAACAGTCAGTAAATTTCCAAAACACTAATAAGAACCTGTTTAACCTGACTGCGATAAATCTAGGTTCCTGTGGGGTTGTTTTCATTGTATCGCCTGAATAGCTGTTACGATGAAGAGTTTCAGAGTGACAATTTAAAATTCTTGCCAAGCTCGCATTCTTAAGCTAACAGTACCTGTGATATGGCTTTTAATTTATAAAGTTTTACTTCTCTCAGGGGATGCAATCGGATTTTATCACGAACAGTCTCGACCTGATAGGGACTCTTATATCAAAATAAAGTATGAAAACGTCCGCCCAGGTAAGCATTGATTTCCGAAAATTTCCAAGTGATTGTTGCACCAGTTCACCTTTAATCTATTTTTCACTCAAAGTGTGAACGCACTGCGTTTCTTTGTCCTTATCGATAGTCTTTCTCTCTCAGGAGCAAAGAAAAATTTTCACAAGTACCACCGTTCAAAAACTGACTCACTTAGTACGCCATATGATTATGGAAGTTTGATGCATTACAGAAGTAAAGCTTATAGCAAGAGTAGAAAGCCAACGATAGTTGTTAAAAAACAAGGGGTATGTTTAGCCATCGTTATCTAGACTCTATAGTTTAAATTCTATTTAAATACATAGTTGTTCACGCAAAGAATTGCATCATTCCTTTTATCCCAAGATCTTATTAGAAATTCTCCTCACTATCTGTCATTCCATTCTTATGACGTCAGATCGGAGAATTCGTGAACGGATGTACTAATATTCCCAAGATTGATATTTTTCTTTATTCTCATAACTCATCTGCTTGATATTGTATTAACATTGT